CCAGTGCAAGCATACCCAGGGTGAGTGATCTCATGCTGCGGCCAGCATGGACAGCAGAGAGCATCGACATCACGGCTACTCTGCGTGCTTGGGCCATCGGGCTACCAGCCAGTTGCAAGCGCAGTGCCATCCGGCACCAAGGCTGAGAGCTTCCACCGGGCCAAGCCGGTAACGGTAACAGCGAATGCTCCAGAGAAGCGGTAAGTCGGCACTGCAGACAGGACGGAAAGCAGTTGCTCACGCAGGGACTGCCGCATGTTAGCTGGCCGGGACCGAGCATTGGCAAGCTTCGGAGAAGCTGTGGTCATCGCCTGTGCTGCGGCTTTGCGCGTCTGTGGCCTCACTGCCGCTCGAAGCGCACAACAGCTGGCGTCTTCCGAGACGTCGCCACGGAAGGACGCGGAGGTTGTTCTGGGGCAGGCTCCGGAATTTACTGCGAACAAAGCTACGGGGCTACCAATGCTGCCGAGAAGTGGCTCGCTGCCAACACCCATCCGCACAGGACTAGCAACCGGCCACAGCTCAAAAATGAAGGCCTCCTGCTGATGAGGCACATGCACCTCTTGGGATTCAGTGCCTGCTGACATCCGGTCCCTCGGATGTCACCGAGCATGCTCTACATTCAACTCATATGATATGTGCCAGCATTCGGCAAGACACCTTTCACATTGACCTTCGACAAGAAGCCGGCATCTGCCGTCGCGTCAGCCAAAAATGCAATATGCAACCTGTTGCAGTCTGTCAAGGCGACAACTCCGAAGCGTCGCTTGGCGTGCAGAGAGCGGGAATGCACAGCAATTCTGCTGCATCTTTCCATTGGCATCCATTTCAGTGCGCTTCTGTCCCGAGCCATCCTGGCTACACGCAAACTGCAGGATGTTGCCGGCAACAAGGACGCACCCCAAACAGGACCAGTTCCGTTGCTGACAGCTCACGGAGCACAGCGATCAAGGACTCGCTGGCACCGATGCAACTTTGAATGCTTTGCGGAGCCAGCTTCACCTGGTCACTGAGCTGCACAGCTTTGCACTTTGAAACCTGGAAGGAAGCGGACTGCGCCCGACTTCAGAAGTGGACTTGCGCAGCTTATTCGGGCAGGGGCGGGCCGCTGGCGAACTGCCATGCTGAAGGTCATACAGCACCTGGGCACTAGAAGGCCTGTAACAAGGCCAGGTCACCCAGCGCATTTTTTCGGCAAGTTTCGTACAGCACATCACAAGTGCTCTCGATAGGAGACGGCAACCCGATATGCTTGCACAGCACATGGAGATTTTGTGCGAAACTGTGGTCTTTCTCAGGGCAGACCTTCCGCTTCACAGATGCTGCTGGCACCCGGAGGTGGGAGCGGAAGGGTAGCTTAAAGCTCATGCTTGCCACCGAAGACGCAGATACGATGCAAAGAACGGGCAGGTTGCCCATGAGCCGCATCACGGTGATATACGTTCAGGAGGCGAGGTCCCTC